ATATTAAAATATTCCTTTTCTCCCCTGGGAAATAAATAAATCCTGTTTTAGTCCTATCATGGGACACAAGAGTTGGCTTGCAAGTCTTCACTCTTGATGATGAAGTGTAATTGACTTCATCAATTATCTGGAAGTGTAACTGATGATAATACAATTTTCAACTTTACAATAGTAGAGGGTAAATCTTTTGAAAAGAATTAGGAACCTTGAAATTAATTGGGCCTGGATGATATCTGCTTGAAACTTCTTTTGCAAACCTATGGTTAAATATAAGGAACTCAGCATCCACATTCAGTTATTATGCTCCATCAAATAAACATGTGAAAGGACCAAGGACAAAATTACATGTCATACATATCAGGCTTCAATTTTCTAAATTCTGCTCTAGGCTAGTCACAGATTGGAGATTATTCGTTCATTCCAATTAACTGTGTAGTTCACTCTCTGTGTTACAGAGAGGTACAGACCCCAGAAGGACTCAGCTATATTTTTATATTGGCTAAACTCAGTTGAGGAAGTTTGCAGGACTCTGAAACCGATCTCAATGTCCACAAACTAGGGATAGGACAAAATTGGGCAGGATTGGTTCTTGTCATCACTGCCCCTGCGCATATGTTGACATCAGGCAAGAGCTGGCTCAAGTTGTCATGCTTCCATTCATTATTTTAAGAGCTTCCAGCAGTTTCTAGCTTCATACAAGAACTATTTCTATAAAGTACCACAAACAGCTGGAAATGCATAGAAGCCTGAATCAGTGCTTTCAGGAAATGGGAGGAGAAAATTGAATGGAAGTCAACTTGCTAAAAGTTCAGCCATGAAATTATAGAGGATGATGAGCAATTTTGTTTTATAATTCCCTCATGCTCTAACACACAGTTATGAGGAAATTGGCAGAATCTGAGATTCACAGCAGAGGCCAGGGAAATTAAAGGCAAGTCCCTTTGTATAGCACACCACAGAAGGGAAGATAAATTATTGAAAAATGAGAGACAGGGCTCATTCGGAAGATTGGTCAGGTGAATGGGAGCAAATGGCAGGTTCTGGGAAGCAGATTAACTGCTTACCCCCACTCAGAAGGGAGGAAGAAGAAGAAAAAAGGGAGGAAACAGAAAACAACGGAAACAAAATGAATCTTGACTTTGTAATTTATTTCAATGCAGATGTGCAGCAGTATCTTAGCATTTGGCCCTTGGGAGATTGTACAGTGAAGATCTTGCAGATTGTTGGGATTGTTGTTGCTGTTTCAAAGTAGAAAACAAAGATTGAACTTTAAAAGTCTGCAACTTCAGCAGAAACAATATCTGATTTGCTGTGGAATGTTTATGATCAAATTCAAAGGGGCGCCAGAGGACATTTAGTTTATTCCACTTTGATTTAGTCAATTCCAGCTTACATTCCACACCCTTCAAAGCTGCTGATTCAAAGTTGATTTCATCCTTCATGTTAAGTTGACCATAGTCAATATGTGAAACCAAGAACATTGAACCTAGAATCTAGTCATTGACATTTTTTTTTCAGTTTACTGAGTACCTCAAATCAGGGGCAATTCCTTTAGTACTGGAAAACTTTACCAAAGTTGGAAGCGTAGAAGAAAAGATAGATAAATAAACAAATAGTGGTTTGATGATGACAAGCTTGGAATTTGAACCCATGACAATCATAAGAGAGATAAAAGACAGAGCAGCCATGAGTGTGAAGATAATTAGAGAAGAAAAAAATGGATGAGGGTGTTGTCTGAACTGGAGAACTTTAGTTTTGAGGAACAGTTAGATAGGTAGAAATTATTTACTTTACAACAGAGGATGCTGAAAGCAGATCCATTTGAAATGTGTAAAATTCTGAGGGGTCTAAATAGAGTTGTTTGGAAGAACAAATTGCCTTTGGTTATAACCAAGGGGATAGATTTAGTGTAAGCATTAGGAGCTTTAGAGGGGATTGAAGGAGAAAGGTTTTCATGGTGAACTCATTGCGTGAAGGGATGATAGAGGCAAAAGCCCTTTGAGGTATACATTTGAAGTATCATAACTTATAGCTCTACAGTCCAAGAGCTGGAACTTAGAGGCAGGAAGGATGACTAAGTACTGACTAGTTCAGACCTGATGGCTGAATATGTTCCTTCTTTGCTGTAAATTCCAAAGATTTCAATGAATGGTTTAAGAAACAACATAAAACCACTTGAAACTTAATTTCCAGCAGCAAGGAACTTCCTTGTATGAATGATGAAGAAATATAGAAGAAATATTCCCTATATAGCATGGATCAAAGTCAAGGATTTAAATCATTGACAAAAAGTCGAGAAAGAACATGGGGAGATTTCTTTCTAGTCAGGAGTTGCTGGTACAGTCAAACTGAAGAGGTGGTGGAAGTTAATTCTGTAAGTAATTTTAAAAGGTTGTTGTTCAGGGAGTTGAGTGTGAAGGACTTAATAGCATTATTAACAAATAGCTGGGGTTTCAAAGATTCAGCACAAACATGTTAGGCCAAGTAGCCTCCTTCTGTGCTTTAAGCTTTTATTATTCACAGACCAAATAAAGTATTTAGCATTTCAGACACATAATGATGTCCTCTCTTTGAGATCTCCAGCCCCACAACCCTCCAATGTCACTGTATGCTTCCAATTCTGGTCTCATGAACATCCCCAATTTAAACACACCACCCTCAGTGGCTGTGTCTTTAGCTGTCTGGAAGTTGCTTCTTAAGCCTCTCCATCGCTTAACCTCACTTTTCCTTCTTTAAAACGTTCTTTAAAACCCACCTCTTGAAACAAACTTCTGGCAATCAACTCTAATAACTTGTTATGTGGCTCAATATCATATCTTATTTTATAATTTTCATGTGAAATGCCTATGGATGCCTTATTTTTAAAAGTTACGTACAAATATAAGTTGTTGTTGTGAAAGGTAAAATATGAAAATGTTACTAAAATATGTACACTTCAGTCCCAGGATGAGCTCATTCACTTTAACATTTCAATCTGCAAGGTGAGTGCTGTTCGTGCTGGGGATTAATACTCTTGCTGTATCATACTCACTTTTCACCTTCACCACTTAATTTGTAATTTATTGGAGGAAATTTCTGTTTACTGTTTGACCTGAAAATAATTGCCAACCAATGTTGCATTAGAGACAGTATGGCATTGTAGACCTATGCCTATTTGATTGAAATTGCCCAAATTCATCACAAAGGATTCTTTGAACCTGGAAAGACAGGAAGATCTTCATCCTATTTAGCTGGCTAGAATTTAACTCAGAGGTAGATAGCGTCTAGCTCATTGTACAACTAAATATCTCCCCAAACAAACCACCCCTCACACTCTCAGTTATAGCATGTTATGTATGATAATTATTGACAAATTATGACCAACTACCATTAACACTATCTAAATAAAAACTGGAAGAACTGTGGATGCTGTAAATCAGGAACAAAAACAAAGTTGCTGGAAAAGATCAGTAGGTCTGGCAGCATCTGTGAAGGAAAAAACAGAGTTAACGTTTCGTGTCCGGTGACCCTTCCTCAGAACTCCTGAGGCTCTGAGGAAGGGTCACCGGACCTGAAACGTTAACTGTTTTTTTTCCTTCACAGATGCTGCCAGACCTGCTGGGCTTTTCCAGCAACTTTGTTTTTGTTCCTCATTAAAACTACCTGTTGTGCTCAATATACTGTGAATTGTAAGAGAGCTACTCGTCCCCTGGCAGCACAGATTCCCTGTGATTGAGGAGTAGTGAGTGTGCTTTGTACATTTTGCTATCTTACGAGCACGCCAGCATTAGATAATTGTGACTCTTAATCACAGTTACCCTTCATGGAAGATTGGGTCACGATCAGATGTCAGATATCATGTGATAGATCACCTTTTTTTAATTGAACCAATTACATTGCAAATTGATGGCAAATGTGCACGCATGAAGCTATTAAGCAAAAAAAGGTTCATCTATGTCAACTACTAACTTGCCATGTAAGTAGCAGGGCAATGCCACTTCCCATGAATAAATGTAAAACATCTATTCAATCATTTCTAAGCAGTGACACACAAGACTAAGCTCACTATCAGATAAAGGTGAAAAAAATGTTCCAGAAGGAACTGTAATCTCAGAATGCTGGTGTTAAGGGTTTATTTACTGTGTTTAGTCTCTCTTACTCACATAGAGATGCCTGCCTACCCATTAGCTCAATAATATTGGGAACATTAATGAGAAATTAGATTAGGGAATCTGATAAGTAGCTGAGCATCACCTTTGTTCTTGTACCAATGCAGACCCTTTAAATACAGCTGTATTTCCTCCAGCAAAATAATTAGCCATAGAATGAAGGTTTGATATTACCATTCAGGTATTTGGTATAATCCTGTGACATCACACGAGCCCCTGTTTTAATCAGTATTTAAGAATCAATGATTCCATTAATGTAGACATGGGTACTGTAGGTAATTCAGGTTTACGAAAGGGTGACTGCTGAGGGTCAGTGAATAGCACTTTCACCACCATATAAGCAGCTTTTAGGTTCAACTCCCATTCCAGAGAACTGGGCACAAAAATCAAGACTGACATTTCCCAATTCTGTCCTGAGTGACCATTGCATTGTTTGAAATGCTGTCTTTTAGATAAAGCACTCAATCCTCTACTCTGAGGTGGATTCCTTGGCACTGTCTCGCAAACAGCAGATGACTTATCCCCTTTGTCCTGGTCAACCTGTAAACCTCAAAAGACAATTTCAGTTTTCACAATCATGAAATATGGAGAGACAATGACATGGTGGTACTGCCATGTTTGAGGAGCTCGCTGTGCTTCCTAAGTTACTACAGTAGCCATCCTTCAAAAGTACTGCTGGAAATTCTGAAGTTGTGAAAGGTGGTATTTGGATGCAAGTTCCATTTTTCAGAAAGCAAAAATTGCAATAAAAGTGAAGCACTCTCTAGAGAATTTAGGAGGTGAATGTCATTGCTTGAGTGATAGATTTTTAATGTTGGTGGCATTCTTTATGTATATTTTGTTTCTTCCTAGTCCCTGCCAGAATTGTGAAAGCTCCCACATCGCAGAATGTCAGTTTTGGGTCGGAGGTGATTCTGCAATGCAAAGCCACAGGCTTCCCTATTCCCACAATCAAGTGGTTAGAGAATGGAAAACCAGTGAGTGTCTTTCATGTGTCTTTCAGTTGGATGATCATGAAACTGGGGGAGAACATGGTGTGATGGATCCGTGATTAGACTAGAGATCTGGAGGAGGCCACTCAGCCTCTCAAGACTGTTCCTCCATTCCATGAGATCACAGCCGATCTGTGACCTGAATAGACATGCTTGGATTTTCTCTGTATGCCTTGCTTCCTTCAGTTAAAGAAATCGGTCAATTTCAGATTTTAAACTAATAATAGATCCAACATCAGCTGCCATTTGGGGAAGAATGGTCCAAATTTCTACCCTTCCTTATTACCTACATTACCCTCAAAAGTACTTCATTGGCTGTGAAGCACTTTGAGATGTCCAATGATCATGAAACGTACCATATAAATGCACATTTGTTTTCGTTTATGCTTGCAGAAATATTTCTCATCCACTCTCCTGGCTTTAGTCACTTAAGGGAGAATTGTTGGGCCTGGATGTGGGACAGGAACTGAAATAGGCTGGACCCTGACACTTTCCCAGCTCCACCTGAATTAAGATTTGGGTTGGAGGGCCTAAACTCCACCTTCCCCAGCAGCTGGCACTTGCTTGCCCCTGAACTCCATGCTGATTGAATATCCAATCAGTTGCCTGAAGGCTGCAAGAGTTGGCAGATTATTTCACACCACGACAAGCTGCGGTATTCTCTCCTTCAATCTCTCCTGCTAATGGGAAAATACCCTCCTTAGTGTTAAACTGCTAGAAACATTTTCTTTCTTTTATGCTATCAGATCCCTTTAATATTTAAAAGAAAATCAAATCAATGCTTAAACTTCAAAATTCCATTGAATACAAGCCTATTGTTGTAAACGCTCCATGCTATTTAATCCTTGCAAGCCAGATACCATCCTGGGAGATCCATGCTGCTGTTCTTGCAAGACCATATTTAGCATAGCTAATCCGTACATTGTTATATATAGTACTTTGTAGAATTTGGGCACTGTCTTACCTTCCTCTGGTGTTTTTGTGTTGCTTATCCTTTCTGATTTCTTCACTTCTGTCTCCTCCATCATTCTCTCACATTAACATTTACTTTTGTTCCTTTGTTTGCTTATTATTTCTTTCCTTTCAAGTGGGAAGTGTTGGCTGTAAAGCTATTATATAGGAAGAAGAAATGGCCACTCTATTCATTCTCTTAAACATTTGTACTTGCAAACTCCTAGACCTTACATATGTCCTGTGACCTTTCACTTTCACTAACCCCTCTTACTGTGGAGTCTTGGGAGAGAAATAGTTCTATAGTTAGCCAGAAACATTCAGAATTAGAACTTTACGAGGTGTTGAATATTAATCCTTTATTGCATCTTATTAACAGACTCCCTATGCTACACATATGGCTATGATACCCTCTAGTTAATAAAATGCACAATGGCCTTTTCAATGCTCTACACTCACCCATCTTTCACATGCAACTCCTTTTTTCTCCATCTCTTCCCCTTTGAATAACTCCATATTCTCCCCTTCCCCTTGTTTGACTGTCACTCAGTCACTCTTAACCTTCCATCTACTCCTCGGAGTCTGATTCACTTCACTCCCAAGTGTTAGTACTGAGAAGTTGAAACAGTTTTTGAAACTCCTTTTCCTCTCACCCTTTCAAACCTGGCTCCCTCAAAAGAGAATTTCTTTACCAACGTATGAATTAGGAGCAGAAGTAGGTCATTTGACCCATCATTCCTACTCTACTCTCAATAAGATTGTGGCTGATTTGTTAGTGTTCCAAATTCCAGGTGCCCACTTATCTCCAATAACCTCTGATTCTCATGCCTAACAAGAATCTATTTACCTGTGCCTTGTAGATATTCAATAATTTTGAGGATTGGCAAATGCAATTCAATATAGATAAGTGTGAGGTGTTGCATTTTGGAAAGTCAAACCAAGGTAGGACTTGTACAGTAAATGGTAAGGTCCTGAGGAGTGTTGTGGAACAGAAGGACCTGGGAGTACAAATATATAGTTCGTTGAATCAGCACCACAGGTGGACAGGGTGGTGAAGAAGGTATTTAGCATGCTGGCCTTCATTGGTCGAGGCATTGAGTATAGGAGTTAGTACGTTATGTATAAGTCGCTGGTGAGGCCACATTTGGAGCATTGTGTAGAGTTTTGGTCACCCTGTTATAGGAAAGACATAATTAAACCAGAAAGTGTGCAAAGAAGATTTACAAGGATGTTGCCTGGGCTAGTAGGCCTGAGTTGTAGGGAGACGTTGGCCAGGATAGGACTTTATTCCTTGGAATGTAGGAGAATGAGGAGTGACCTTATTGAGGTGTATAAAATCATGAGGGTCATAGATAGGATGAATGCATTTAGTTTTTTTTCCCAGGGATGGGGAATTGAAAACTAGAGGGCACGGGTTTAAAGCAAGAGGAGTAGAATTTAAGAAGGACGTGAGGGGCAACTTCTTCACGCAGACAGTGGTGAGTATATGGAATGGGTTGCTGGAGAAACTGGTTGAGGCGGGTACAATAGTAACATCTTAAAAACATTCGAGTAGGTACATGAATGGGAAGGGTGTAGAGGGATATGGACCTAATGCAGGCAATTAGAACTAGCTGAGTGGGCACCATGGTCAGCATGGACCAATTTGGGCCGAAGGGCCTGTTTCCATGCTGTATTACTCTATGACTCTAAATGGGTCAATGGGCTGAAAAATGGCAGATGAATTTCAATCTGGATAAATGTGAGGTATTGCATTTTGGTACAACAAATAAGGGTAGAGTTTATACAATTAATGGTAGGGCCTTGGGTAGTGTTGTAGAACAGAGAGACCTAGGGTTGCAGGTACATAATTCTTTGAAGTTTGCATCACATGTAGACAGGGTGTTAAAAAGGTGTTTGGCATGTTCGCCTTCATTACTCAGTCCTTTAAGTATAGGAGTGGGGAGGTCATGTTGAGGACATTGTTCAGGCCTCTTCCAGAATACTGTGTCCAGTTCTGGTTGCCCAGTTATAGGAAGGATACTATTGAGCTGAAAAGAGTTCAGAAGAGGTTTACCAGGATGTTGCCAAGAAAGGAAGGTTTGAGTTATAAAGAAAGGCTGGAACATTTTTCACTGGAGTGTAGGAGGTTAAGAGGTCACCTGATAGAAATTTATAAAATAATGAGAGGTATGGATAAGAGTTAATTGTAGTTATCTTTCCCCTAGGATGGGGGAATTTCAAGACGAGGGGGCACATTTCTAAGATGAGATGAGAGAGATTTAATAAAGACATGAGAGGCAAATTTTTTCCACAGAGGGTGGTTCAGATGTGAAATGAACTTCCTGAGGAAGTGGTGGATACAGTTACAATTACAACATTTAAAAGACTTTTGGATAAGTACATGAATAGGAACGGTTTGGAGAGATATAGGCAAGAAGGCTGGTGGGACTAGTTTAGTTTGGGATTACGTTCAAATCTGTTTCCGTGCTGTATGACTATGACTCAATGACCCTGTCTCCACTGACTTCTGAGGTAGAGAATTCCAAAGTCACACAGCTGTCTGAGTGAAAACATTTCCCCTCATCCCTGTTCTAAAAGGATGACCCTGGATTTTAAAATAGTATTACCCGTATTTGCACTTGCCCACAAGACTAAACATCCCTTCAAAGTCCACCTTGTCAAGACCATTCAGAATCTCATAAGCTTCAATCAAATCACCCCTTGCTCTTTGGAATTCTGGTATAAACAAGCCCAGCCTGTCCAACTTATCCTCATATGACATCGATTCTGGCTAAATATCAATCTAGTGAACCTCTTGCGACTTATGCATTGGAACAACTAGATCCCTCTGCGCCTTAGAATTCTGCGGTCATTTAAATAATACTCTACTTGTATTCTTCCTGCCAAAATGAACAACTTTGCATTTTCTAACATTATACACCATCTGCCAGATTATTGAGTACTCGCTTAACCAATCTATAGCAGTCCACTCCTTGTTATGTCTTCTTCACAACTAATGTTTCTACCTATCTTTGTATCAATTGCATATTTAGCCAACAGACCTTCAATTGTAATTCATCTTGATATAAATTACAAAATATTGAGGATCCAGCATAGACCAGTCAATCTTCTTCCATCAAGTCAGTGAAACTTTTTTAAGAATTAAAAATTCAAGAATGAAGAAGGACTAAAAAAGGTCAATTGCCTAAATACTTTCTAGTTCAATCTTTCTCAATCATTCTCCTTCTCCAACAATCTGTGGTGTTAGTAACTAAATTCTCCTAAGTGTATATGATTAATGTTACCCTCTCAGCAGTGGTGGAGACTCATTCCCACTGTTTAAACTACATCTAAAATCCTGAATTAAAATAATGCTACAATAAGACATTAGAACTGTGGTATTTTCTGGTGTAGTCACACACTTCATCATTAAAAAAACACTTTATATATATTTTACCTCAGTTAACTATTTTTGACACAGACCTGTTGCTTTCTTCAGGAAATGTCTTCATCAATAGAATCATAGAATCTCTACATTGCGGAAGCAGGCCATTCGACCCATTGAGTCCACACCAACCCTCTGAAGTGCACCACCCAAATCAGCCCCCTAACCTATCCCTGTAACCCTGCATTTCCCTGGCTAATCCACCTTGCTATACATCCATGGATACTACAAGTAATTCGGCATGGCCAACCCACCTAACATGCACATCTTTGGACTGTGGGAGGAAACCGGAGCACTCGGAGGAAACCCATGCAGACACGGGGAGAATGTGCAAACTCCACACAGACAGTCATCTAAGGCTGGAATCGAACCCAGATCCCTGGCACTGTGAGGCAGCAGTGCTAACCACTGATAAGTCTCAAGTAGTTTGTAACCACATCCAGTTTCCGAACCCAGAGGTTTGTTGGCAAAATGTGTGGTATTAATCCAGGTTTTCCTTTTTGTTTTCTCCAGGTTTCCACGGTCTTGATTGAAAACCGCATTAAAGGGGAAGTGATGGAGTCTAGGTTGCGTGTGCACGTTACCAGGCCTTCACTATTCACTTGCTTGACAACAAACAAACACAATGAGGGGAGTACAACGGCAAAGGCCACTGCTACACTCGGTATCACAGGTAGGTCGGGGACAGTTGTCTTCCTGTTCCTTGTAAATATTTTCTTCATGCACGATATTCCGAACATGTGAATCTACAAAATATGGGCAGAACTAAAATGGTGGACTGACAGTAGCATGAATCTTGCAGCTACTCCTGAGATCCAGGCTTATTTCAAGATTTACTTCTAGATTTCTTACGGTTATTAAATTTCAGTCATTTAAGATTTTTATTTTGATTCATTTTTAGTTCTTTCATGAACAAGAAATGTTTGGAGGGCAGGTGCGACTAGTTTAGTTTGGGATTATGGTCGCTATGGACTGGTTGGGCCGAAGAGTCTGTTTCCATTCTGTATGACACAGCTCGTCAGGCCTGCTCTGCCATTCAATAATATCATGGCTGAACTATTTGTGTTTCAAATTACACATTCGCATCTACCCGTTACATCCCTTGATTCCCCTGCTGAACAAAAATCCATCCACTTCTGTCTTAAAAATATTCAATTACCCCAGTTCGTTTGCCAACTGCGACAGCAAATTCCAAGTCACACAAACTTCTCAGAGAAAAGAAATTCTCCTTATCTCAGTTACAAAAGGGACAAATTGTTTCATGTTGACCTTGTTAATATCATTCAGGATCTTATACACTTCAATCAAGCCACACTCACTCTTCTAAACTCCAGCGGAATCAAGCCTGGCCTGTCCAACCCATACACAGCAGACAATCCATTCATTCCAGGTATCAATTGAGTAAACCAGTTCTGAACTTCCTTCAATGCATTTACATCTTTCTTAATTAAGGAGGCCAAAACTACATTCAGTATTTGAGATGTGGTCCCAACAACGTCCTAATTAAGTAAAACGTAACACTTTTACTTTGATGTTCGATTATTCTTGTAATAAAGAATAACGTGCCATTCGGCCTCTTGATTATATGCTGTACCTGTATACTTGTGTCCCATGCACTGGAAAACCTAAATCCCTCTGTGTCTCCGAATTCTGCAATCATTCTCCATTTAAGTAATACGCTGCTTTTATTATCTTCCTGCCAAAGTGAATAACTTCACATTTTTCCCATGTTAAACTCCCTCTGCCAGACTTTTGCCCACTCATTCAAACTATCTGTATCTGTCTTCAGTTTTCCTTATATTTTCTTCACAACACACGCTCCTACCTATCTTGGTGTTATCTGTGAATTTAGTGACAACATATTTGCTTCCCTCACCTAAGTCATTGATATCAGTTGCAAAATATTGAGACGCAAACACAGATCCCAATGTGACTCTACTTATCACACCCTGCCAAACGGACAATGACCATTGATGAATATTCTCTGTTTCCTGCCAGGCAGCCAATTCACTATCCATGCTAATATATTACTCCTATACCTCAAGCTTTTATTTTCTACAATGTCCTTTGAACTGAAACCTTATCAAATACCTTATTTTATTCATTGGTGGGATGTGGGCGTCACTTGCTGACCAGCATTTATTGCCCATCCCTAGTTGCCCTTGAGAAGGTGATGGTGAGCTGCCTTCTTGAGCCACTGCAGTCTACCTGCTGTGGGTTGACCCACAATGCCATTAGCCTGGCATTTGTGTAGCGTGAATGTTACTTACCACTTGTCAGCCCAAGCCCGGATATTGTCCAGATCTTGTTGCATTTGAACATGGACTGCTTCAGTATCTGAGGAGTCACGAATGGTGCTGAACATTGTGTAATCATCGGCAAACATCCCCACTTCTGACCTTATGATGGACGGAAGGTCATTGATGAAGCAGATGAAGATTGCTGGGCCTAGGACACTACCCTGAGGAACTCCTGCAGAGACGTTCTGGAGCTGAGATGATTGACCTCTAACAACCATGACCATCTTCCTAAGTGTCACATATGACTCCAACCACCAGAGAGTTTGCCCCCTGATACCCATTGATTCTACTTTTTCTAAGGCTCCTTAATACCTTACTTGATCAAATGCAGCCTTGATGTCAAGGACTGTCACTCTCACCTCACCTCTAGAATTGAGCTCTTTTGTCCATGTTTGAACCAAGGCTGTAATGAGATCAGGAGCTGAGTGGTCCTGGTGGAACCCAAACTGGGCGTCACTGAGCAGGTTATTGCTGAGCAGGTGCTGCTTGATAGTACTGTTGATGACACCTTCCATCACTTTACTGATGATCGAGAGTAGGCTGAGGGGGCGGTAATTGGCCAAGCTGGATTTGTCCTGCTTTTTATGTACAGGACATACTTGGGCAATTTTCCACATTGCCGGGCAGCTACCAGTGTTGTAACTGTACTAGAACAACTTGGCTAGGGGAGCGGCAAGTTCTGGATCACAAGTCTTCAGTATTATTATCAGAATGTTGTCAGGGCCCGCAGCCTTTGCAGTATCTAGTGTCTCCGAAAATGCTTAGGGCAACACGGTGGCACAGTGGTTAGCACTGCTGCCTCACAGCGCCAGGGACCTGGGTTCGATTCCAGCCTTGAGCGACTGTCTGTGTGGAGTTTGCACATTCTCCCCGTGTCTGCGTGGGTTTCCTCTGGGTGCTCTGGTTTCCTCCCACAGTCCAAAGATGTGTAGGTTAGGTGGATTGGCCATGCTAAATTGCCCGTAGTGTTCAGGGAGGTAGAGGGTGTATATTAGGTGGGTTATAGGGGAATGGATCTGGGTGGGATGCTCTGAGGTTCGGTGTGGACTTGTTGGGCCGAAGGGCCTGTTTCCACACTGTAGGGATTCTAATTCTAATTCAAACGTTTCTTGATATCACGTGGAGTAAATCAAATTGACTGAAGACTGGTATCTGTAATGCTGGGGACCACTGGAGGAGGTCTTCTGGAAATCCAAGTACAGTATTCTATAGGCTCACCTTTATCTAAGGACCAGGTTCCTAGAAAGCACAGGCCAGGTTTCTGTACTGAATAAGAATTACTATTTGTTACAAGTAATTAGACTTTAGCTCCAGCTAAGCAGTCATAACCATCAGCATATGATAGTATTAATTATAATTTACTTGAGAAAGGATGTACTGGCACTGGAGGGGGTGCAATGGAGGTTCACTAGGTTGATTCCGGAGTTGAGGGGGTTGGCTTATGAGGAGAGACTGAGTAGATTGGGATTATATTCATTGGAATTCAGAAGATTGAGGGGGGATCTTATAGAAACATATAAAATTATGAAGGAAATAGATAAGATAGAAGTAGAGAGGATGTTTCCACTGGCAGGTGAAGCTAGGTCAAGAGGGCATAGCCTCAAGATTAGAGGGAGCAGATTTAGGACTGAATTGAGAAGGAAATTCTTCACCCAGAGAGTTGTTAATCTATGGAATTCCTTGCCCAGTGAAGTAGTTGACGCTACTTCAGTAAACGTTTTGAAAGATAAGGTAGATTTTTTTTTGAACAATAAAGGAATTAAGGGATATGGTGAGAACACGGGTAAGTGGATCTGAGTCCACAAAAAGATCAGCCATGATCTTATTAAATGGCGGAGCAGGCTCGAAGGCCCGGACAGCCTACTCCTGCTCCTAGTTCTTATGTTATTATAACTTCAATCCCCTTATAACTCCCCCTTACACACAAACAAACAGCATAAAGCAGGTTATGGTCGGAGGGGTAAAACAGGAAATACAGCTTAGTAGTCTTTGTTTGCAGATTCTGTTGTTGAGATGATCTTTATGACTCTTCTGCTGGTTAACATGCTACTTCAGTCATCTTTCTCTAGCTGCTTCCACTTTTTGGTGTGACACAACAGGTGACTGGTTCCCTAATAAAAATTCTCTGACTTATCAATTAAGTCACAGCATATAACAACTGTTGCATGAAGATAAACTGATTTCTTCAGGTTTATAGTGAGTTTTGACAGCAGAGAACAGAAACACCTCTCCTGAGCTCTGGACAACTGTATACTCCTTTGATTTTGTAGCATGTTTCCAGCTCCAAGCTGTTCAGTTACCTGAGAACTAATCACATAGCTGTTAGCAGGCAAAAGGGTCTCTGTCATTGATAACTAGTCACTAGCCCGTAGACCAATCAACTTCTAGTTGCCAACAAAAACTGCATAATTACATCTCCTCAGCTTCATATCATCTGTAACTTAGACTGCAATTACTGCTTGCTGAAACAATTCTTTATGACACTTGTCATGGATATCAGTTTACCTGAGACAACAAGGTATAGAGCTGGATGAACACAGCAGGCCAAGCAGCATCAGAGGAGCAGGAAAGCTGATGTTTTGGGTCTAGACTCAGCTTCCCTGCTCCTCTGATGCTGCTTGACCTGCTGTGTTTATCCAGCTCTACACCTTGTTATCTCAGACTCTCCAGCATCGGCAGTTCCTACTATCTCTGTATCAGGTTACCTGCCTTGAAACTGCAGTCACCCTTTCAAACGCTGGGATTCTCAATCAGCAAAGAAATAAAAATAATTTAAGTCACAATTCAGGGGCACATTTGTAGTTCGAGTTATGAGTGAGGGAGACTATTGTAATTTGGATCAGACATTGCTATAGTTTGGGTCATGAGTCAGAGGCACTGTGGTAATGTAGGTCAGAGACAGCCTTTGCTGTAGTTTTAGTTATGATTCAGAGGTGCTGTTTGTTGTAGTTTGGGTCATGAGTCAGTGACGCTGTTTGCTGCAGTTTGAGTTAAGATTCAGAGGGCACTATTTGCCGTGTTTGGATCATGAGTGAGAACTACTACAGTAGTTATGTACAGTACTACGGTAGTCATGAATCAGAGACATTGTTTGTTCCATCCCTACCTCCATTCATTGGCTAATGGATCTTTTCAATATGAAAATAACAAATTTTATTATAAATAACATGGGCAGGCAGAACAAACATTTTCTATCTCCGATAGTTGAGGAGGTGAATTGAAGTCTAATAGCTGGTAACGATCATCTAGGAGTTGTGCATGACCATTGTCAATTCTTTTCCATTTTGTTAGCAGCTTTATTAAACCTTCCCTTCTTTCTGGCATTACTTCATGCTAATTCATCATCTGTTCATGGGCTCAGCTTAAGGATGCT